GGCTGAGATAATGCTGCAGTGTTCTTAAACTGCCACTCAGTTTAGACTAACAGGATTACGATGATTACATTAGCAACTCAATAATAAAAACATCATTGTGAGCACTAATATTTTATCAGCAGCCACTCAAATATGTAAACCACTGATTTATAGTTTTGTTTAATCCGGTACTCATTAAATTGAAGAACTACTAACATAAAATGGAAAATGTCCTGGATGTTTTTCTCACAGACTTATAAGCTAAAGGTCAAAGACACCATAGCAGTAAATTAAAAAGCTAATGATACAGAATACATATGTTGAGCTGGTTAATTAACTAACTCTACACAACTTTGGTCACTCACACATATGCACACACACACACACACACACACCTCAGTGTTTGCAGGACTGTCTCCCTTTGTGTCCAGAGCAAACAGCTTCTCTGTGAGCTCCACCCTCAGGTCACTCTCCACTGAGCTGTAGTAATCATCTGGGCTGCTGGGCTGCAGAGGTGAAGGACAGAGGGAAGGATGAACAAAAGGAAGAAATTAGATTTGAATGAGAGAAAGAAAATGATAAACACAGACAAAAAGGACTAATACATAAGAGAAACAAGAGAGATGAGTTTTGACAAAGGCACTATTCACTGCTACGAGCCTATTCCATCCAAATAACCACCCCCGTTATTCTCACACACTCTGCCCAGTTTTAGTGACCTCACCGCACACTGAGAGAATAAACCATGCAACAAGTGTAACCAACCAGTCACTCGCTCACTAACTAATTACTCTTTTCAGTTTCACAAACTGGCTCTCAGTCGTGCCCCGTCTCGCTGTCCTCACCGTGGAGCAGCTGCTGAGGCTCGGAGTGGCGCTGCCCGGTGGAGGATTCTGCTGCACAGTGAACCCACTACCGGCCATTTTACCCACGTCCCCTGGAGCTGCAGTTGGGGGTCCAGAGGCATTGGAGGCAGAATTGTGGCTCTCACTGGCCCAGGACGGTGGTCCCGGAGGGGCCATGGCTGAAGCAGACACCTGGGAGTATGCTGGCTGCTGGGGCTCTTCAAACTGAACACGACCTGCGAAAAAGAATCACAAATTTGA